CAGAGTAATTGGTAGCCAGAATCGGGTAGTTTGTGAACCATGTTTTTAAAGAAACATTGCCTTAGCAGATGTACAACAGGTAATGTATGCTATAAAACAGAGGTTCACTATGACCCGAAAGTAGAGAGTGCTTTTTATCATAAAACTTGCTAATAATGTGACCTGTGCTTTTTCCAGATATCTTTACTTCTGAAAAATTAATGCAGGATGTTCCTATTGATTGCTTATATTTCACCACTTTGTTTTTCTTCACTTTTTTATTTTTTATTTCAATTTCTTTTATACATTCAGTCACATTATTTAGCTTGCAAAGTGAAGAGAATTTTTTTTTTCCTTCAGAACACTGTTTTATTTGTGTGTATCTTCCTAGAGGTCTATTTTGGTTTCCAAATAAATGCCTTTTAAATGACTACTTTTAGTTTTGCCCATCCCGTGTATGATATTTGTATTCATGGTTAGCAATAAATCTTCTCCCAACTCAAAACAGTATTCTTACAAAATGTATCATAAAAGGGAGATTTGTGAAAAGACAATTGTCTTTGGTTTTAGTTTAGCTTTTTGTTTTGTTTTTGCCAGAGGCTGTGTGTGCTCACCAGAGAGAAAGTGAGGAAGTGAACAAGCACCCCACACACACAGGATGGTGTACCACAGTCCTTTTTCCTTCAGATTTGAGCGCCCAGGTTTGGGATTGGAACCATACAGTTGGCCGTGTAGGACCCAGATGCTTTAACCATGGAGCACGGGCTAACCTGCTTTTTAGATATTTAAAAGAATGGTATATACATCGCTAGATTCAAATTTACCTTCTTTCCAGTTTATATTTATTTCCAAACCCTGCCTACTTCTGGTCACATCATCTTTATTTCTCATTTTGATTAGTACAATGATTAAATACAAATAGTCTACTCTTTTTCTTTGCCCCAGATTCTTCAGTGTACCTGCTGTGCCCTAAGTAAAGATAGCTGTTCCATCTTCTTCATTACTGACCTTGTACATCTCTCACCCCCTTTCCGATCATTCTGTCTTGGGTCCACACTGCACATGGCTGATCTCTCCCTAGCAAGGTTTCACGCCCTTCTTTAAGGTCCAGGCCACTCCTATCCTCCACTCTTACACAATCACTCTTAAAAAATCTACACAATCTCTCTTTCCCCTCCCACCCCCACTTCTGCTCAGCTATTTTCTGACCCCAGCATCTGTCACCTCTTTTAATTACTGACATAAAAAGTCCCTGCAAGTGTTTTGCATCTGTACATGACATAAAGTCACTGTTTTTACTGTGACTTAAATTGCTCTTGGTGTTTCAACCAGATTGTGTTTTTATGAGAAAAACATGATGCGTGAAAAATACTTGTGCTCTGGTCAGACTAATCATTAATTTATTTTGTTACTCAATTTGTAGATAAATATAATCAAAGTTTTAAATTATAATACTAAAAACAGTCTTAAAAATACCATATATTATCTTTGTATTCTTAGCTTCTGTGTATGTTAGGAACTAGGAACACAGTATACTTCCCCCTCTGGATACTGAGCAACACTGGAAGAGTAAGAGAAAAAACACGTATCTTTCTACATTTCAAATAGCATTGTCTGAATTGACTGCTTCCCGAGTCTTACCATATTAAGTACTGATTTACATGGTTTCATCTGTCTTAATTTTGTGCAGAAAATGTATAATAATTCTGTGGTGGGGATAGACTAAATGTATGTTTTTTCATGTGATTAATTTGATTGAGAGATTCAAAGGGTAAAATGAAAATTAATATGAAATGACTACATATAAATCAATATATACTAAACAAGTACAGTAAATAAGTAAAATCAAGTAAGTAAGTAAAATCATTATAAAAAGGAACTCCAAAAGTCTTTGGAGTAATGGAACTAAAGAATGAATTTATTTGGAAAATAAATACATTTTTTATGATACACATTTTCCATGAACTTTTTCAGATCCCCTTTATGTCTTATGTATCAGTGTTTTATTCTCTGTCCTGCCTGGTGTATACTTGAAGGACCCCAATACTATAGCGATGGAGTATCACAATAAATCAGGTTTTTAGTATTCTCAATTTTAATTAGAAATACCACACCAAGGATATTTTAAGTACAGCTTTTACAGGATAAAATAATATTAATAATAATAATAATAAAACCAAGTGATATATGGCAGGCAATTTTACTAATTTGAAGTAAGAAAAAAAGATAAAATTTAAATGTAATTATAATCTGTATTCTAAAGTTAAAAAGATAGAGTGATTTTATACAAACTACCACTAGTCAAACAAGTTAAAAGTCTAAGTGATTATATTTCTTTCATATTTAGCAGTTTTATCTTCTATGAAAAGGCCTACATGGCTTGAAAATCTGTGCAAGGAATAAAATATGTTATTGCTTATTGCATAGGGTGTTTTATCCTTTAAAACTACAGTCATTTCAAGAAAAATCTATGTCAACTTAGAAAACTTCATAACATACCTCAAAGCTACTCTTTCCATATAAAATCAATATGTTCCATGGTTTGAAATGATTCAGCTAGCTTATGTACCATTGTTCCTATTCTGACCCAAATTCTATAGCATAGTATCCTCAAATGAACAGGCCCACTAACTTGAAATCAAGACACTTAACACTTTTTGTTTCATCTTCTAAGATGTGAGAGGCAAATAAGGCAAGCCAGTGAGTGATCTGGGGTGGTCCGCAATGCCGTAACAATGTTCACATACGGATTCTGGTTCCGTCTCTGGTGGAGACTAAGAGTGCTCATTTTTCACTGGCTTCCATTCCAAACAAGTAAAGGAAGTTCACTCTTAGCTCACCATCACAAAAGAAATTGGGTTTATTTACCTATGCACCTTGACCACCCTGTTTGACTTCATTTTGGGTTTTGCTTAACATCAGGTGGCAAGAGCCTGGTTGTAATGTTATTGTGAGGATCAGAGTAAGGTTATGTATCTTGCACAGTGATTAACACATAGAGCCAATTTAATGTGTTTTCTTTGTCATTGGTCTTGCGGCTCCAAGAGCTGCCTGTCCAGACTTTATAGACTAAACTCAGAATCTGCTATATGAGTGAGCACTGGCTGGAGTCACTCTGGGTCCCATTTCTGCTGTCGGCCATCTTGAAATTCTTAATAATTTTATCTTTAAACATGTGTGTGTATGTGTGTGTGTGTGTGTTAGCCATCTTGAATTTTTTTATATTTATATCTTTAAATGTGTGTGTGTGTGTGTGTGTGTGTGTGTGTGTGTCTGTGAAAAGAAATTAAGGAGAAATATAGAGAGGCAAGATATGTATGGGACACAGAAATGGATTGTTGTCTGTTGATGATAACATATATAGCACCCTCAACTAGACTGGTGTGAGGTACATTCATGTTGGGTAAATTCACTTTACAAGTATAAAATAAAAGAAAAAAGAGAGAAGTCTAATGGAATAGTGAGCATGCATGGAACAGAGTCTGTCCACCGCAGTGCCCACACTGAGAATTAGCCTGTGGGCAGGGTAGAAAGCATGTGTTTTCCTGGTGATTGAGGCCACAGTGCTGTAGCTGCCTCCGTGTAGACCTGTTCATCCCATTGCCTATAGGATTTGACCTCTGATGTAATTAAAATCCTGCCTACCTATCCCACCTCAGGCTCCTTTGTCAGAGTCTCAGTTAATATGATAAAATGACTTGTGTTAGTGTTAAGCCTAAGAACTGAAATACAGATCTAATGTCACAGAATGAATTTTAAGCTAATCTACTGTAGAGAAGCCCTTCTGCTCTATTTCTTCAAGACATAATAGGAATGATGGAAGAGATTATTTGAAATCGGCAGTTCTTTAACCCCATTCCGAATGCATTTGAATTAAGTTAATGAACATATCCATCATAACCCATGCTGCACCTTTTCCATCCTCGGTACTCGTTCATTTTATAACTGAAAGTTTCTGTCCTTTGACCAGCTGAAATGTATTTTTGATTCTACAAAATACCACTGCTACATATTTTGTTTATTCTTATGATAAAGAGAGGCTCTTCAGAGTGGTCACTGAGGTTAAACAGTACTTAGAATTCATTTAACAGCTATTTTAGGCTAAATTCCAATATTATATGATTTTTTTTGATCCATGTCTTAACTGAAGGTAATTCTTTCTATAAAAGTGTCCAATTATAGATTCAATGTCTATAAATATTGGTCCTATTTACCTCAGAACAGACTGTTCATGAGAAATTTTTGGTTGTCTTTAGGACAGAGAGAGTCAGAGGCAGAGAGGGAAATTAATATAAAAATTCGTGCTTGTATTGTTTTTCCAGGTGGATATAATTTTTAGACTCAAACTTACATGTTTTCATAGACTTCTAAGTATGCTTGAAAAACAAAGGCAAGAGATTTTTATCATGAGATTTTGCTTAATTTTTTTTTCTTTTTTGAAGAGGTTTTCGCTATAGGGCGCGTGTGCTCGCCAGACAGAGAGAGACATAGAGACAGAAAGCGAGAAATCGCCCCCCAGGGGGGATGGCCACCCCGCAATTCCTTCTCCTCCATTCTCCTCTTGGGATCTTGGGCACACACGCACTTGCGCCCGGTGTGAGTTTTAAGCCACCGGGTCCGGGACTCAAACCGCGGTCGACTACGTGGGAGTCCAGCGACATAGCCATTACGCCAACTTCTGGTTCCCAGGATTTTGCTTAATTTTTAAAAGACCTTTTAAAAGGTATACGTATTGAAATTGGAGTATTTTACAGCAAATAGAAGGTAACAAGTTTTGTTATTTAAAGTAAACCCTTTATCCATGGCTTGATGGAAATGAAGTAAGATTAATGTTTAAGGATTAGCTCAAAATTCTTACATAAAGTTACTTAAATTCTTCTTGGTAGAATAAAAAGAGAAAAGGTTACAGACTCCGTTCGCTTCAACAGGAGGATTACAATAAGAAAAGAATTTATTTTTCCAATACTGAGAGTACTATTTATATCACGCAATTTTCAGTGTCTGTCTTTGCCTTTCTACAGCTGTGGGTCTTGCTGCATGCCAAGAGCCAGTCCTGCCCAGTAATGGCATCAAACTGGGAGATCGCTACATGGTAAACGACGTGCTCTCCTTTCAGTGCGAGCCTGGCTACACCTTGCAGGTATCTGTCTTTTGAATTCTTTATGTAAAGAAGGTTCCACCTGGTAAACCCTGGGCAGCTCACTTATAGTTAACGTTCTAGATCTGTACTAGGCGAGCTAATTTGTTTTTTTGTTCACTCCGTTTGTGAATCAAATATTCGTATTAAATTATGCATGTGGGTCATTTTAATTATCATTAGGAAATAGATTATAAATGATAAAGGGCTGTTTATTGTTCACAATTAGTTTATTTCAAAAATGAATATTCTCTCCCAGTAATTGTACAGAAAACATGCTAGGGGCAAGGCAAATGACACAGTCCCTTTACAAGTTCTATTCCAGGGAGCAGCAGTTGGTGGTATGGTTATGTCTCTGGACTCTCCTGTAGTCAACTACAGTTTGAATCCTAAACCTGGTGGCTTAAAATTCATCCTGGGTGCATGTGTATGCTTGCCCAAAATTCTGAGAAGAGAAGGGATTGCTGCATGGCCATGGCCCCTGGGAATGATTTCTTGCTTTGTGTCTCTCTGCTTCTCTTTGTCTCTCTGAGGAGTGCACATACCCTACAGCAAAATACTCTCTAAAAAAGATAAATAAATGAAATAAAATTTTTTAAAAAAAGTTCTTTCCTGGTACCCAGTTACTAGATCTGCTTCGTATTCATGTTTGTCCTACTTCACAAACAGTTTCGATAATTCACTTCAATAAAGCATCATTAGATGCCTCCTTCATACTAGGTAAATAACATTCAAATAGTATATTTATATGCATTTTAAAAATATCAAGAAGTTTTTTATAAATATTTGATAATTTTCAAATTAAAATATCTTCATAAACCTTTTATAAACTAATGGTTAGTGAGATTAGTCATTCTCTTTTTTATATTTTACAGTTTTAACCATGAATAAGCTTATTTCCAGAATAGTTTCTTCCACTTAGCATAATTGTTACATTATTTCCCCTGCCAATGATAAAAATGGATCATCTAAACATGTATATTTCAAAGTCCAGGATAATTTTTAAGCCTACTCATATTTCTCCTGTGCAGTTAATTTGGGTAATTCAATATGTTTTTGCTATATGCAATGTGGCATTACAATTTTGACGCTGATAAATTTTTAAGGATTTTTTTTTTAAATTCATGTTCTATATCCACTTAAATACAGCAGACTGAGTAGGCATCAGAAAAGCATTGCAACAATACAGCAGAGAAATAATAGCATTGTATATAATTCAATTTCTGTGTGTATGTCGAGATAAGTATCTTGTAGAGCTGAATCAATACTAACAGCAGCAGCAACTCACAAATACCAAATGCTGATTGGGTGCTGTAGAAGGCACTTCAGATACAAAATCTCGTGTTATTCCCAAACCTTACAACCCAAACCACATAACCCACAACCATATTGCATGGGTACCATACCATGTATACTTCATGCTTAGAGGAAACGTCTGTAGAACACTTAGCACACTTCAGTAAATGAAAAGTATCGTTTCTATTGACAACAAAAAGATGCGAGCAGAGGCAGTGAAGCAGTTTCTTTAGGGGAAATTGATTATGGTGAGGAGAGTCTGCTGAAAGTTCTACTACTTGAACCGTTTCTCTTTCTCTTATTTATTTATTTATTATTTATTTATTTATTTATTTATTTATTTATTTATTGAGAGGCTTTGGCCTTAGGATGTGTGTGTTCATAAGAGAGCAAGAGAGAGAGAGACAGACAATGAGAGGAAAAGTGAGAAGTCACTCCTGAGCAGGAATTGGCCGTAGCGCAATGACTTCTTCTTCTGGGATCTTGGGCATGCACGTACATGCATCTGGCATGAGTTTCAAGTCACTGGGTCCAGAACTTGAACTATGGTCAGCAATGTAGGAGTCCAGTAACATAACCACACTGCCATCTTCTGCTCCCCCTAAACAATTTCTTACCTAAGCACATTGAAACTGTTTAGTCTGAATTTTATTTTTTATTTTTTTTTACATTCACCAGAGAGAAAGACAGAGAGATAAAGAGAGAGGGAGAACACCTCCCCTGATGAGATATGGTCATGCTGTAATTCCTTCTCCTCCATTTCTCCATGCTGTCAGGATCTGAGGCACACATGCCCACATACCTGATGTGGTCTTCAAGCCACTGGGCTGGGATTTGAACCATGCAGTCTGCCATATGGGATCCAGCTGCCTTAACCACCAGACTACCAGGTCAACCCTAGGCTGAGTTTTCCCAATACAGCTTTACTGTTCCACTTGTTGCAGTCTGAAGAATGAAATGTCATATTTCAAGGGCTGCGTTTAGAGGAATACTTCAATCTATACTCATTTTTAATCCCTTTGTCAACTTGCATTTTACTTAAGTAAAATCATGTAAATGCTATGGTACTTGGACTCTCCACAAATTCCCATAATTTACTATTTGCTTTTGTTCATAGATTTCCCCTTCTTTCTACTTCTGGATGATGTGACTGTAACTTGTGTCAGTGTTCTTTGGGAAGTGATATTCCTATAGCTCTTAGACAAAAAAATAGAAATGCTGTAGTGAAATAATTTTCTATAGTAGATTGTTTGGTATGCTGCATAGAGCTCACACTTCCCCAGAGCCCAGCCAGACTACTTCAGACTATTGTACTGGCTCTGTTTTACAAATGCAAATGAAGCTTTTTTTAATCAAAACTTTGTTTTGAGTGTGCAAGTGACTGTAAGGACTCTAGAATTTTTTCAGTTGTTAGAAACTAACAATTTCACCTCTGTTAACATATTTAGAACGCATGAAAAGCATTGTTTGTTTTTTTTGGAGAGGTTTTTTTGTTTTTGTTTTAGGTTTTTTTTGTTTTGTTTTGTTTTTTGGTATAGAGTGTGTGCACTCACCAGAAAGATAGAGAGACAGAAAGCAAGAAATCAAGAAACCACCCCTCCGCGCCCCCAGGGAGGATGGCCATGCTGCAATCCCTTCTCCTCCATTCTCCTCTCGGGATCCTGAGCATGCACAGAGTGCCTGGTGTGAGTTTAAGGCACCGGGTCCAGAACTCGAACTGCGGTCGACTACATGGGAGTCCAGCGACATAGCCATTGTGCCAACTGCTGGTCCCGAAAAGCATTATTTCTTAAATAATTTATACATGAGTGTCTGTAAACATATAGGTTTATGGACATGCCATGATATCAAATACTAAAAATAAATTCTGTATACTTGGGCAATTTATGATCTCCATCTCCTCTAGACTTATCTTAGTATTCTCTTAAAACACAATAAAGACACTCACTTGGGTAAACATTCGCAAATAAATTCATAAGTACCGTCACATTTGCCCTAATGAAAAAATTTTAGTTAGAGTCACTCACCTGAAACATTTATGCCGGAATTAATACCAGAAGATGACCTAGATGAGTCATAAATGACTATTTCCTGGTAGTCTTCAATAAATACATTGAAAGTCTCTTGTACCTAAGCTTACCCATATTGTACAAAGAAATTTATTAAAAATAATTTAACGATCAAGAGAATGAAAATACACAGAGTGAAGGTTAGCAGCAAGACACATTGTCCAGAATATCTTCTTTAAAAATAAATGTAGTCTTCTTGTACTGTAACTACTTTTAAAAAATATCAAGAAGTATGAGAAAATTAGTTTTGTGGCAGATGAATTGAGTATGAAATGTTTCTAAGCTTAGGGAATCGGTTTGCCATTGATAACTGCATTACTGCAAATTCTTGTTTGATGCCTTCCCAGTGTGCTTGGGATTATTTAACATGAATTCGAGATTTGTGTTGCAATTGCCTCTGTGCCAGTTGTAGGTGGCAAATGGAAATTCATGAGATAAGTAAGCCTGGCAGATAAAGCTACCAAGTCACAACAAGGAAAATAAAAATAACTCTGCACACAGGGGTCCCCCACCCCTTTCTTTAACCTTTTAATTGTAAAAGAGATTTTAGTACAAAACATTTCTGAACTCAAGATTCTGCTCTTTGTTTTTTAAAAGAGGAAGAGTGGATGTTTAAAAGTTGAAAATGCCCTATATTTAAAGGATAAAAAGAGCTCAAGTGATGAGGATTAATTTAATTTCAGGCATTTTAATCTGACAGTTTACGAGGCTGTCTAGTAATGAAGTGAATTTTTTTGAGAGAGAGTTTTTTGCTTTTCGGGTTTTTTCTGTTTTCTTTTTTTGTTATATATGTTCACTCACCAGAGAGACAGAGAGAGAGAGACAGAAAGCAAGAAATCACCCTGTAGGGGGGATGGCCATGCCTCAATCCCTTTTCCTCCATTCTCCTTTAGAGATCTTGAGTATGCACATACATACAGGAGCCCGTTGTGAGTTTCAAGCCATTAGGTCCAAGACTGGAATGTGGGAGTCCAGCAACATAACCACTATGCCATCTGCTGGCCCCAAAGAATGTGAAGTCTCCTTTTTCTATGATGAAGGAAGATTTGACACAGTTCTTTGCCAAAGGATGATGATCATGTGACTTGTACCCAGTGATAACCACAAAGGTTATCTTTCCATAAGCAGACAACATATTGCTGATATTTTACCCTTCTAATCAATACCTGGTATTTCCTAATCATTTTCAGCCTCTCACCAAAATCTATACCTTATGATGTTTAAAAACCAAAGAAAGGGAAAACTTGGTCTAATTCAATTTATCTTTTTTAAGTATTAGAGAAGGAGTTGGACAGAAATATGACATGTTTAAAGGGACATTGCAAGATTTTGTTTTTAGTGAAAAGTGATAGAGTGATAATGGATTTTTTTTTCTATGTTGATTCCAAGTTCATGATTCATTAATAATCTCTTATAGAAGTAGATTTCAGAATTTCAGATTCATTTTCTATGCTTGTAATTTCAACAAAAAAGGACAAGCAAATAAAGCACAGATATTTTCTCAAACATTTCATTCTTAAATACTCTACTTTCAGATACGCAAACTTTATTTTTTTTTGTCTTTGAAACAGGGCCGTTCCCACATTTCTTGCATGCCAGGAACTGTTCGGCGTTGGAACTTCCCATCTCCCCTCTGCATTGGTATGGATACGTCTTCCATAAACGTGTTGCTCTGTACACACTAGGAATAACACCAGGGGTGGGCCTGCTTGCTCTGCTCATGGGCTTCACATGATGCCCTTCTAAATTTCTTTCAAAACATTTGTGATATAATAATAATGACAATTATGCAATGGAGGTGTAACAAGAATTTTTATACATCTTGGCCTTTTCAGTGTGTTTGGGTCAGCCTAGTTGCAAGATTGCCAGCCTGATGCAGCAAACTTAAATTAATTTGTGTCAGAGGCTAGTATATTAATGTATGGGTCAGAAGAAATGTGTGAATGTATGAATAGTTTCCTGCATAGGCTTTAGTCTCAGGAGAATCACCTTTATAGAAAAAAGTATAGGATTATAAATAAAGGATTTGAAGTTAGAGCAATAGTATTTCATGTTAGAAATGGTCCAGCGACCACCCGAGGCAAGCTCATTAAGGAGTGAAGAATCAGCATGCCTTTGTAGAGAACTTTCCAGAAAGTGTATTTGAAGACTTAGATCCTATGCTATGAGGCCCCCTAATGTTCTAGCATAGATCATATGATGAAAGTTCTTGTATTCCCCTTTTTTTTCTTTTTTTAGATTTATTTTATTTATCATTATTACTTTCTTAAATTTTAATTTGCTATAGGGCACATATACTCACCAGAGAGAGACACAGAGAGAGAAAGAGATGGGGAATGTGAGAAAGCAAGCTGCCAGTTCTGGAGTTGTGGGACTTGAACTACAGTCAGTCATGTGGGAGTCCAGCAACCCAACCACTAAGCACCTGCTGGCCATTAGATGAAAGTTTTAATAACTGACGGACATTGCAGGTGGGGATCATTTTCCTGTCTTACCGGAAGCTCCTGAAATGCAAAGGCTAGTGATGTCAAGGTGCTCTTCTTTTCCCCTTAGTTTTCAGTCACAGAACACTGTCTGTTGTATATCCAGGGGGACTCGTTACCTGTAGCCCAGGTGACCACAGAACTTTGTCAAATACTGCTCCAACATAATCATTAGTTACTTAACACCCAACACCCGACATCCTTAGCCCATGTTCCCATTGACTTTTTCAAACTGTTCTCCCTTATAAATCCCCTTCTTCAGTGACTTACCTTGTCATGCACATTGTTTCTTTATTCACAAATCTGGAAATTATCTTAGATTTCCTTCTTATCCTCAAATCTAAATGGCTTTTCACTTCTGTCAACTCTCCACCTGAATCTTACTTGTGAGTCTTATCTATTGACTTAGCTTCAGAATCTCATAGTCCTTCTACATTATTGTCTCCACAGAAACAGAACATACAACCCCCACACTCAGTGATACTCCTGCTTTATTATAGAAATGTGTTTGCTAACGTTATCTACTTAATGTCTTACAATTTTCTGCCTGCTCTCCACCCCCACACCTACCCCCAGAATAATAAGTTCCAGCTTGGTCATATGGCCTTAAGGACACCCACGCTAGTTCCCGTTTCTATTGCTTACATCATCCCAGGAACTAGTATTCTTTTCCTCCCCTTGTCTCCATAGAGACCTACACGTTGTTTGAGAATACATTTGTCCTTTTTAAATCCTTCTCTGACCTCCTCTGTGTTCAGAGCCATGTTAGCTGTAGAAATATCATGGGCAAAGGAAAAAAATTAACAATAACTAACTATCTTATCTGTATTTACAATTTTGATATTTTGTTCTCCATTTTTTTTTTACATTACTTTTAATTTTTTAAATAGCACAGTACAAATATTGTTGTAGGGTTTAGGCACCATCTTGACTTTGTGAAGGGCTAGGTTGGTTTCATGTTCACCTAAACACTGTCCCGGTTCCCACCTTCAGGGGTCATCAGTCCTCCCCAACTTGGGCTACCATTCTTCTGTGCACATGACTTCTCCTTACCATGCGGGGCTGTAAAGATATTGTTATTAACTTGCCCTCTCTGTGTTCCCCATTTATTGTTTTATCTTTAGCACACTTAGGCACTCAAGAATTTCAGTTCAAGAGACTAATAAATAAATGAGTGTCTGAGAGCTTGTCTCACTGTCAGTCACACTACCGGAATACCTTCTTTGTAATCCCTCCTACTCTTCCTACACTCGAGTATCCATGTGGACCACACACAAAACACTCTCCTCTCCAGATTGTTAGCCCCAAGCAGCCCCATTTTCCTGGACAGTGTTTCAGGAGAAAGTGGTCAGCTCCTATCTCAACAAATGCAAGTAGTTTAAAAGATCACAATATATTCTTAACATGGTGTTCTGAGCTAGTCGCGTACAGTGTACCATTCGTTTGGCCAAGGAATATGATAACATAGGTTGTTGGTTTCCACAAGTTAAACAAGTTGATCATTCTCTGTTGCATGTTCCTCTGACAGCCTAAATCTCCCACATCTCAAACAGATATGCCATTTGACTACCCTGAATGGAATGCAGATGGAGTTGTGTACAGAGGAAAATAGATCTATAATATACCTATAAAACAAAATTGTAGCCTTTAGGATGATCTTACCAGGAAATAATGCTTGTGCATATTCTGTTCACTATATCTTATTTGTTTACAAGTGAAAGGGGTTCCTTAGTGGCCAACATCTTATATTGTGGAAGTTATGTCTTGGTAAAAATGAATGTCTAGATCCACATGTCACCTAAAAGCATCATGTTATTTGTACAGAGGTTTAAAATCTCAGCTTTGATTTGAAAGGCATAAACTATTGCCTTTTCCGTACATAAAACATCAATCTTGCTATTTATTTTTAAATGAAGAGCTTTCCCTTAAACTTGGGAATTGAAATATTTTACACTTTGAAGTCAAATCAGTCCCCAGAAGGTAGCCAATCAAATAACATGTCATGGTTTTTATTCTCTGTAATATAAGGACATATTTTATATGAATAGTTAACGTACATTAGCAAAATATAGTTGACTTCTATCTGTTAACTAACATGTCAATATATTAGCAAATGTTGAAACTACATCAACTTATGTAATTTAGTTCAAGGTGTAGAAAAAGATTTCTCATTGGAACAAAACTCACATATGGTAATATGTGGCACACAGTAAATCTCAAAGACACTTTTGAAACACTAAAAGGTTTCTGTGGCTGTTAGCTTTAGATTAATCTAAGCTAGAGAATTTCAGGATTAGAAATCCATAGAGAATAGAGAGAGTATTTTACTTTTCAGCTCCTGGAAATCTCATGTTTAATTTTTTAAAAATAATTGTACTCATGAAGACAATGCATGTAATACTCTTTCTCTACAGACTACTAAGTGCAGACATTTTTCTGAGATCTTGACCAACATTGGTCAATTTTTTTGAAAATAATTGTACTCATGAAGACAATGCATGTAAAATTCTTTCTCTAGAGATTACTAAGTACAGACATCTTTCTGAGATTTTGACCGATATTTACTATTTTTAATATCATCATAAGCCCCAGAATGGCCAAGCAGTTTGCTAGGTTCCTACATGCAAGCTGGCATTGACAATGGGGCAGACTAATCCAGAGAATTCTCTGCCTCAGAACTCCTCTGGGTCTGTCTCCGGCAGCATGGCCTGTGCCCTTGAGTAGGAATTCTATATACTTTTACCTCCAAAGCCAGGAATCTTTACAAAATAAAATATTTAAATCCAGTAAGATATAAGGCCTCTAGTTACCATCTAAAAATAAACACCTTACTCTTTAGAAATACCGTATTTACCAATAACGCCTTAAATACACTGGTTACTTATGAGAAAGGGCCTGGCACGGAGGTTGCTAACCAGGTAGCAGAAGGTCATCCACAGAATGACCAGAAAGCCCTGAGAAGAAGGCTGAAACCTGAGAGGTACAGTGGACCAATATAGAATACGAGTTTCAGTGTTGACAGTCTTAAATTATCACCAGGGGAAGAAGACTGATGCATGTATTTTGAGAGCTCTATTTTCATGCCTATCCATTGATTCACAGTTTTTGATGACTATGAACAACAATGTATTACATGGGGTTATTATCACAACATAGTATTATATGGGGTTATTATTAAGTACTCAAGTAATGAGGTGATCACCCAATAATGAGGCCCACATATGTATCACCCCTAACTTTGATGGGGACCCATTGGACACCGATATTAATATTGATGATGCCATCTATCCTGCAGACACTGGGTCAGCTATTCTTGCAAGAAAGGCTTAGTCTTCAGCTACAGATGTTCGTAGATATTTGTATTTTATGAGTTCCAATCTTTTGGGGGGAGAAGTGGTAGAAAAATTTCTCAAATAGCAAAAGGGTCTTTTGAGAGAGGTTTTGGGTTTTTTTTTTTTTTTTTTT